CATTAGAAAATATGGTTTTACCTGAATCTAGTTTTTTTTATACCTACAATTTTTTTATTAATAGTTATGGTTACTGTACTTATGGCTAAGAAAGGTTGAAAAGCCAAACGACCCAATGCAGAACTGACAGAAATGGAAAATGAGATTATAGTAGAGGTATTCCTCCTAGATAAAATTTATTTAACTACACATCTGTCATTAAAAAATTAAAAATAAATATGCTAAATGTAGCAGTAAAATAAATAAAAAATAATTATGTCAAAATATATTGATATAGAACATAAATATGAAAATAAAAAGAATAAAACTAAATTAAATGAGATTATTAAAAAGTCATCCTTTATTGAAATTATTAAATTCATATTTAATAGATCACTCTCAACCTAGTAACATAAGTTATTTATGAAATTTTGGTTCTTTATTAGCTATATGTTTAGGTATTCAAATAGTTACAGGTGTGACTTTAGCCATGCACTATAACCCTAATGTATTAGAAGCTTTTAACTCTATAGAACATATCATGCGTGATGTAAACAATGGATGATTAATACGTTACTTACATAGTAATACAGCATCTGCTTTTTTCTTCTTAGTATACTTACATATAGGAAGAGGTTTATATTATGGATCATATAGAGCCCCAAGAACATTAACATGAGTTATAGGTACTATCATTTTAATACTAATGATGGGTATAGGTTTCCTAGGTTATGTTTTACCTTATGGACAAATGTCTTTATGAGGAGCTACTGTTATTACTAATTTAATTAGTGCCATACCATGAATAGGACAAGATATAGTTGAATTTATATGAGGAGGTTTCTCAGTAAATAATGCAACATTAAATAGATTCTTTGCTTTACATTTTGTTTTACCTTTCGTACTAGCTGCATTAGTTTTAATGCATTTAATTACATTAGGAGAAACAGTAGGATCTAGTAATCCTTTGGGAGTACCAGGTTATTATGATAGAATTCCTTTTGCACCTTATTACTTATTTAAAGATTTAATTACTATATTTATTTTTATTTTAGGTTTAAGTATATTTGTATTCTTTATGCCAAATGTCTTAGGTGATAGTGATAACTATATAATGGGTAATCCTATGCAAACACCACCTGCTATAGTACCAGAATGATATCTTTTACCTTTCTATGCTATTTTAAGATCTATACCTAATAAACTTTTAGGTGTTATCGCTATGTTTAGTGCATTAATAATTCTTACAATATTACCTATAACAGATTTAGGAAACACTAAAGGTTTACAGTTTAGATTAATAACTAAATTTGTATTCTTTTTCTTTGTAACTGATTTCTTAATATTAATGGTATTAGGTGCCAAACATGTAGAAACACCTTATATAGAATTAGGACAAATAGCTACTGTTATATATTTCCTAACTTTCTTAGTATTTATACCTTTAGCTAGTATCATTGAAAATACATTGGTAGATATAGCACGTGTAAATAAGTAAAATTGAAAATAAAGTAGTCTAAGAAATAAAATTTTTTTTTTCTTTATTTTATGTAATTTATAACGAGATAATAGAACTTACCATTGAGTTAAATTCATTATTCTTCAATAAATTGTCTATTTCATATAATGCTAATTTATACATAATATAGGTAATTATACTAATAATTAACTTTGTTTTTCATAGAAGTATTTGTAACAAATCAAATTTTTATGGTAAATAAGGTTAAGGGTTATGTTTGTATATGGTTATACACTTTGATTGCAAATCTTAAGTATAGGGGTTCGATTCCTCCATAGCTCTATTAATTATAGAATTAAAACTTTATTTATATAATTAAGGTAAGGACTAAATTTTATTACATTGTATTTAATTACTTCTTTTAAGATAAAATAAAACAAATTTACTTTATTATTCTTTGTCTTAATTAAGTTTCCTTATTTATAAGGTGAAGAAGTAGAAGTTCTAAAAAAAGATTAAATAAAACAACACCTATATTAGAAAAAAATATAGACATAGACATATTTGTTTATTTTTTTTTATAAGAACATACAAAAATTTATAACTAAAATATTCTAGATTTGAATAAAATTAGAACAAATAACAAGCAAACAATATATATATATTAATTTATAATAAAATACCTTAGATAAATTTGATATAAATATTTGAATTTTGGTAAGAAAAATTTTTAGCGATTTCTAGGATTAAACTAAGAATATGAGACCCATATTTACTTATAAGGCACCTACCAGTCCTGCAGTAACTAAACTTGGCTCTTATTAATTACTTTAGTACAAAACAATCTGTTTTAGGGAAGAAGGTCCCGTGAGGATCTTGGATATTAGAAAATGGTTAGCATCCTTCGTATAATATTTTCTTAAAACCCAGGATTGGTATTAATGAGAGGTACCTAATTAAAAAGGCTTCGCTACTATAAAATTTTTAAATTACAACATGAGATACTTAGTTATTAAAATAACTAACAACAATTACCTTTGTTATACAATAGGTATAAGACTTTATTCGAGTTCTAATAGGCCTCCTGGAATATCCGGAGACAGACTCGATAAATTAAGTAACTTCAACTTTTCAGATCACCAAAAATTCTTAGCTTCTTTCCGCAAAGATGAAAAATTTTTTAAGGAAAAGTGAATAAATGACGATTTTGGATTCCCTAAATTAAATAATCTTAGGGACCAAGTTCTCGGTATATGGAAAACTCAGGAAAAAATAGAGAATTTTCTAGATAGTGCTCAAGGTACTGCTGGTAGACCTGAATTTTCACAAAAAAGACACAGGGAAGCTATCGAAAAATATAACGAAAAATTAGAAGCCCTAGAAAAAAAACGTGATCAGAACTGAATGGAGTTAGAGGAACTTCTTAATGGTGATCTTAAGACAAATCTTAAGTTAAAAGAAATAATGACCGAAAATTCTCAAGCTATAGATCCTATTTTCAATTTAATTGATAAGAAGGATCCAACTTTACAAGATTATATCGATAAGAGAAAATCACTTTTAAACGACGAAATACATAAATCTAGATCGCAAAAAAAAGAAGTTATGGAAAATTTAACAGCAGACTTAGAAAGTCCTATGGATTTAGCTGTGGGTATAATGGAGGAATCTGGACCTGAGATTGGTGGTGAAGATGACTAATTATATCCCCTAAACCATAATTAACTCAATTTTTTGTAATAGTACAAAAATATATTACGATTATAAATTATACTGATTTTTATTGATAGTTATTTTTCTTTTTTTGGTTAGTCAAATTAAAGAAAATAACCTATTAAAGTCTGAAATGTCTATAGGTTACCGAAAGGTGATTTCTTTCAACGAATGCCAAAGATATAGGAACTTTATATTTAATTTTTTTCATTATTTTCAGGTTTATTAGGTACTGCTTTTTCAGTTTTAATTAGATTAGAACTTAGTGGTCCTGGTGTACAATTTATTGGAAATAATCAATATATAATAGTATTGTTACACGCTCATGCTATTTTAATGATATTTTTTATGGTTATGCCTGCTTTACATAGGAGGATTTGGAAACTTTTTTAATGCCTTTAATGGTAGGAGGTCCTGATATGGCCTTCCCTAGATTAAATAATATAAGTTTTTGTATTACTCCCCCCATAGTTTAATCTTATTAGTATTATCTGCTTGTATAGAAGGTGGAGTGGGTACAGGTTGAACTCTTTACCCTCCTCTATCTGGTTTACAAAGTCATAGTGGACCAAGTGTAGATTTAGCTATTTTGCTTTACATTTATCCAGGGGTGAGTAGTTTATTAGGTGGCAATAAACTTTATAACTACTATTGCTAATATGAGAACTCCAGGTATAAGATTACATAAATTAACATTATTTGGATGAGCAGTTGTAATAACAGCTATATTATTATTATTATCACTACCTGTATTAGCAGGAGGTATCAACTATGATTTCTTACAGATAGAACTTTAATACTTCTTTCTTTGAAGTAGCAGGAGGTGGAGATCCTATATTATTCAACAACCTGTTCTGATTTTTTGGTCATCCAGTAAGTTTATATTCTTAATTGTACCAGCATTTGGTATAATTAGTACAACTATCTCAGTTAATTCTAACAAACCTATATTTGGTTACATAGGTATGGTTTATGCTATGATGTCTATGGTATATTAGGATTTATAGTTTGAAGCCATCATATGTATACTGTAGGTTTAGATGTTGATACAAGAGCATACTTTACTGCAGCTACACTAATTATAGCTGTTCCTACAGGTATAAAAATATTTTCTTGATTAGCTACATGTTATGGAGGATCTATAAAATGACACCTTCAATGTTATTTCATTAGGTTTTGTATTTATGTTTACAATTGGAGGATTAAGTGGTGTTGTATTAGCTAATGCTTCATTAGATATTGCTTTCCATGATACTTTATTATGTAGTTTGCCTCATTTCCACTATGTATTAAGTTTAGGTGCTGTATTTGCAATGTTTGCTGGTTGATACTTCTGAATTCCTAAAATGTTTAGGTTTAACTTACGATTTAAATTTAGCTAAAGTACAATTCTGACTATTATTTATAGGTGTTAATTTAACTTTCTTCCCTCAACATTTCTTAGGTTTACAAGGAATGCCTAGACGTATCAGTGATTATCCTGATGCTTTTGCAGGGTGAAATTTAATTAGTAGTATTGGGTCAATAGTTAGTGTTATAGCAGCTGATTATTCTTATACATTGTTTACAAACAATTAGTAGACGGAAAAATTTCTTCTAGAAATCCTTGATTAACACCTGGATTTTATACTGATATATTACAAGCTAATTTAAATAGATGTTATACAAGTTTAGAATGAGGTTTATCAAGCCCACCTAAACCTCACGCTTTTGTAAGTTTACCTTTACAAAGTTTAAAGACAATATGTCCTATTTATATAATTAAAATTAAATAAAAAATATTACTCATTTTTATTTTACAGTAATTTAAGAATTCTTATTTTAGTATGTTGGACAAAAATGGGTAAAAATCTCATTGGCTTAATGGTAAAGCAAAATACTTCTAATATTTTGTATTCTAGTTCGATTCTGGAATGAGGTTTAAGTAAATAAAAAATAATTAATAATCTTTAATTAAATAAAAAATAATTTTCGGTTATTATTTCTTCTTTATGATTTAAATTTAGTTTAGTAAACTCACATATAAATTAATACATATATGTTATTAAGTAAAATATTGAATTAATTGCATAAATAAGCAAGGATAAATACTATTAATTTAAATGATTTAGAATCTTAATAAAAATTACAAAAAAAAAATGAGATTTAATATAACTTTAATTTCTATTTTAGAGAAAATAATAATTTTGAATATTACCTGCTTTATTAGGTGTTGCCTATGTAACTGTAGCGGAAAGAAAAACAATGGCAAGTATGCACAAGAAGATTAGGTCCTAATGCCAGTAGGATATTATGGTTATTTACAAGCTTTTTGCGGATGCTCTTAAAATTAATATTAAAAGAATATGTAGCCCCAACTCAAGCTAATGTAATCTTATTTTTTCTTAGGTCCTATAATAACATTAATGTTTGCTTTATTAGGTTTCGCGGTTATTCCTTACGGGCCCCGGATTATCTATAAGTGATATGGAATTAGGTATATTGCTTTATGTTAGCTGTATCTGGTTTAGCTACTTACGGTATACTACTTGCAGGATGAAGTGCTAATAGTAAATATGCTTTCTTAGTGTTCTTTAAGAAGTACAGCTCAACTTATAAGTTATGAATTAGTATTAAGTTCTGTTTTACTAATTGTAATAATGATAACTAATAGTTTAAATTTAAATATAAATGTTCAATTTCAAAAAATAACCTGATTAGCCTTTCCTTTATTATGTATATTAATAATATTTTTTATAGGTTCTGTAGCAGAAACTAACAGAGCTCCATTTGATTTAGCTGAAGCTGAATCGGAGTTAGTTAGTGGATTATGACTGAACACGCCAGCTGTTATTTTTGTTTTCTTTTTCTTAGCTGAATACTCTAGTATTGTAATAATGTGTATCTTTACAAGTATTCTGTTTTTAGGTGGGTATTTAGTAGATTTTGATCTTATATTTTTATTTGATAAAGTAAATTATATTTATGCTTATATATTTGACATTGACTGGATATTATCTTTAGATTATTTAAATATCAGAAATTCATTAATTCACCCTACTATGGATGGATTATTTTCAGGTATAAGCTTAGGGGTTAAAAGTGGAATAATGGTATTTATATTTATTTGAGTTAGAGCTTCATTTCCAAGAATTCGTTTTGACCAATTAATGTCTTTCTGTTGAACTGTATTAATACCTATATTATTTGCGTTTATATTCTTAATTCCTTGTATATTATACGCCTTTGGAATATTCTTTATAAATATTAGTTTATTTTAATTAATATATTTTTCTGCTTATATATTAATTATAACCTAGATATATAATTTTTTTTTTTACCTGTTACGGTTAAACGTATTAATCAACTTTTTAATATAAAATAAATATGCCACAATTAGTACCATTTTATTATATGAATGAAATTGTTTTTGCTTTTTCATTAATAGTATTTATATTATATATATTATCTAAATATATTTTACCTAGAATAGTACGTTTATTCGTATCTCGTATGTTTATAGACAAAATATAATTAATAGTTTATATATTATAAATAACTCAGCTTGCTACAGCTCCACCTTGACTTAAATGTCCACAATTAGCTTATCAAGATTATATATAACAATTAACTTTTATTTAAGTTAATGCAATTATCTTCAAATAATTTATTTTTATTTAATGAAATTACTAGTCCTTTAGATCAATTTGAAATAAGAAACATTTTAAGTTTAGAAATTTTAGGTGGTAGTTTACATTTATCTTTAACAAACATAGGATTTTATTTAACAGTAGGATCTTTAATCATATTAATAATGTCTATAACAGCTACTAATTATAACAAATTAGTAAGTAACAACTGATCAATAGCTCAAGAATCTTTATATGTTACAATACATAATATTGTAACAAATCAAATTAACCCTAGAAATGGACAAATTTATTTTCCTTTTATATATACTTTATTCATATTCATTTTAATAAATAATTTAATTGGTATGATTCCATATAGTTTTGCTTCTACAGGTCATTTTGCTCTTACATTTGCTTTAAGTTTCACTATAGTTTTAGGTGCTACTATTTTAGGATTCCAAAGACATGGTTTAAAATTTTTTTCTTTATTTGTTCCAGCAGGTTGTCCTTTAGCTTTATTACCATTATTAGTAACTATAGAACTAATATCATACTTAGCTAGAAATGTTTCTTTAGGACTAAGATTAGCAGCTAACATTACAGCTGGTCATATGTTATTAAGTATATTAAGTGGATTTGTTTATAATATTATGAATTCAGGAATTATATTCTTCATATTAGGATTAATACCTTTATTATTTATTATAGCTTTTTCTGGTTTAGAATTAGCTATAGCTTTTATCCAAGCACAAGTTTTTGTTGTATTATCATCTTCTTATATAAAAGACGGGTTAGATTTACATTAATTTTAAATAATCAAATACTTAATTTAAGAAAAAGAAATGTATAATAGGGGTTATGGAAAATTATAACAACTATAAAGTACATTTATATAAAACATTAAAAATAAAGAAAAAATAAAAAGAGAAATTAAATAATATAATTAATTATAGTAAATACATAAAATAAGCGTACAGACTATTTTTACTTTGAACATTTATTATAAAGTGAATATAACAATAAATAGTTTATTAACCTCTATTATTACTTGCGTAGATGAAATAGTAATATTTATTATATTAGTAACCTTTCGGTTATGAATAAATATTTTATAAATTGAGTTTGGTGATGGCTCTGATTGAATGCTGTCCAAGTGCTTGACACATGCTAATCGAACGTTTTAATTTTTCTAAGTTAAAAAGTGGTGTACAGGTGAGTATAAATATATTCTCCGCCGACCTTAAAGTAAAGCTAAATTCTTTATTAAAAAGGAGATAATTATCTCCGCTTTAAGAGGACAATGAATATTTCCGAGACAGGTAGTAGTTAAGGTGATGGCTTAACTAGCCTACAACTCTCGTAGTCGAAACTGAAAGGTTGATCGACCACATTGGGTCTGAAAAAATCCCAATGCATATTAGTACAGCAGTGAGGAATATTGGTCAATGGCCTAACGGCTGAACTGGCAACTTGGAGAAGTGATAAGCTTTTATATGTGTTTTTTAACACGAGAATATAAAAGTTCTATTAATTTTGAATGAAGCTTTGTTTATATACTGATAATGACAGTATATATATACCGTCTTGACTAATTGCGTGCCAGCAGTCGCGGTAATACGTAAGAGACTAGTGTTATTCATCTTAATTAGGTTTAAAGGGTACCTAAACGGTCGATATATCTTGTAAAAATGTTAATATAAGACTAGAGTTTTCTATGTAAGGGGCAGTACTTGAGGAGGAAAGATAAAATTTCGTGATACCAAAGGGACTCGGTAAAGGCGCAGGCAGCCCTTTATGTAAAAACTGACGTTGAGGGACGAAGGCATAGATAACAAAAAGGATTAGATACCCAAGTAGTCTTTGCAGTAAATTATGAATGCCATGGGTTGAATAAATTTATTCAAACTATAAATGAAAGTGTAAGCATTTCACCTCAAGAGTAATGTGGCAACGCAGGAACTGAAATCACTAGACCGTTTCTAACCCCAGTAGTGAAGTATGTTGTTTAATTCGATGATCCACGAAAAACCTTACCACAATTTGAATAATAAATATATTACAGGAGTTGCACGGCTGTTTTCAGTTAATGTTGTGAAACTATGGTTTCCATAAAATTAACGAAATCCCATACTTTATTTTTTTTTTACGATAAAGTTTATTTTTCCAAAATACTTGGCGAAAATAGGAGGGACTAAGACAAGTCATCATGGCCTTGTATTGTGGGCTATAGACGTGCCACATATACCTAAACAAAGAGAAGCAAAAATGTGAATTCTAGCTAATCTCAAAAAATAGGATATAAAAAGGATTGTAGTCTGGAATTCGACTATATGAATAAGTAATTACTAGTAATCGTGAATCACCATGACACGGTGAATATACCTTTGGATTGGTACTAACCACTCGTCACATGCTGAAAGGAACGTGCGCAATAAGTTTGCTTTTTTACTATATTGTAAAAACTATAAGTAGTTTGTTTTCTTTTAGTAAAAATCTTCGTATGCGTGGTTCTAATTAGTGTAAAGTCGAAATACGGTTCGTGTAGTGGAAGTTGCACGGGAATCATAAAATTTAACTAATATAAACCTAGAAGGATTATTGTGAAGGAGGGTTCCTTTATAGGTAAGAAGGGTTGAGCTGTAAACTCAATAGCTAAAGCTTTTAAGAGTTCGAATCTCTTGTCTCCTAGAACTAGTAACTCAATTTGGTAGAGAATTTCCTTGTCACGGAAAGAGATATCGGTTCGAATCTGGTCTAGTTCGAACACTAAGGATTTGTTTACAAGTCCTTACTCTAGGGGGTTTTACCTTTTAGAAATACAATTTATGATTGTAAAAATGATTTTAGACAAAAATAATAAATAAATACTCATATATGACATATCTAGATAGAAGTCATTTTCAAGACCATCCATTTCACCTGGTGTCACCTAGTCCCTGACCCTTATATACTAGTATATCTTTACTAGGGTTAACAATAAATGCAGTTTTTGCTATGCATTTATTCTCAAATAGCTATATATTTTTTTATATCAGCTTATTTTTAGTTATTTCATCTATGTCATTATGATTTAAGGATATAATAGCTGAAGGTACATACCTTGGTAATCATACTTTAGCTGTACAAAAAGGATTAAACATGGGTGTGATATTATTTATAATATCTGAAGTTATGTTCTTTTTAGCTATCTTCTGAGCCTTTTTCCACAGTGCTTTAACACCTACAGTAGAATTAGGTAGTCAATGACCACCAATGGGTATAGAACCTGTTAATCCTTTTGAATTACCTTTATTAAATACTGTAATACTAT